ATAAAATATGATATGTAAATTCATCAACCTAATAGAATATTATTCTTCCCATAGAATAATGTCCTTTTCATCAAATTGTAGCAAAGGTATCAGGAGCAAAGGGTCAAGACTATACATTAAGTTGCAGTTCAAAGCCTATGGATGAGACTCTAGTAAACTGAAGTTCTCTACTAAATTAGCGCCAGATAAGGGTCAACAAAATTGAAGAGGGCTTGGACTTGGACCTTTTGTGGCAACGTAATGACTCTAAGCTGATGACATGCTTAATTTCACCCTCCATTACTACCTCTCTTCTACAAAAAGTGAAGTGTGCTATACTATCTAGTTACTATCTTGTTCAGGCCATGCATAGTTAAATTCAAGATCTAACAAACCAAAATTTTATCAACTTGATCAGTGGTGGGATTCAAAAATTTTTACTATTGGTTCTGTGAGCATGGCGTGATGGACATTACTCAAAATTTCTACTACAGGTTCTACAGAACTGATCAGAACCTGCTGAATACCACCACTGAGCTCGATTCTTCCGTAGCATGCAGCAGTTGTATGAGTCAGAATTTTCAGAACTTTTCGATTTTTAGAGATTTGAATTCAGCAGGAGCCTTATTAGAGGATATGCTTCTGAACATAAGCAGATTTCTGAAAGAATGGTGAGTAGAAGTAGCAGAATATTCCATTAAAAATACTCATAATACGTTTTTATTTGATGAAGAATATGAACTTAACCAGCTGCCAGTGAATTCATTATATCTGAAGTAAAAATTAGATTAAGAAACATATGAAGATTTTAAAAATATATCGTGAAGCAAAAGAAGCATAAAAGAAAGATAACAAATTCACTTCTGTCTCTGTGTTTAAGAGATAGATTTATCTATTAAAAATAGATGACAAACAGATGCAAGAACACCAAGATCCTTCTCCTTATCTTTCACCATTTGCCCTAGTGATCAAAACAGCTCATAGATGCAAAGAAATTATGCAATTTCCTACTTCTTCACCTTGTCCTTAAAATGAGAAATCTTTTGTAAAATATAAACTGAATAATTTTTAGTCCTTTTTTTTCATTCTTGAGAGAGTTGCATCTGGCATCCTTGTCCCCATATTAGATTTGTGGCATGGAATAGGACCTAAAATAAAGGACAGGTTCCCAAAAGGGTCAAAAAGAAAACAGTTATGCTGCTGCCTTTTCAAGATTTTCTCTTTTCACATGAAATACATGTGGGAAAATGGTACTTTTATTTTTCCTGACTGCTGATAAAGTAGAAAAATTCAGAAGAATTGCATCACTCATCTGTGGCTGAGAGTATAGTTGATATTTCTAATCTAGTCCAGACACTTTAGACATATTACATTTTCTATCTTGAGTTGCTAGACCAGTTTCAAATCAACTGAAAGTCATGGTGTAAAACAGTGGTAGTGTCAGCGTTCTGAGTAACGCATCCATTAAAAGCAGAACTCTGAGGCAGATAGATTCCTCAAAGAACATGTTTGATGGGTACATCATATTGGCACAGCCAGTGAAAACTAACTCTAAAGGTTCCCGCAGTTTTCACCTAATTAAAAGAGTAACAACCCCCCCTCCATTGTCACATTGTCCAATGAATACAGCTGGACGGCTCCTCTCCTCCTTCACCAGCCACCTATTATGATGACCTTGGTTCTCACGGGAAATTTTTTTCTTTTGACTGTTAGCTGGGCTATCTACTTCCCCTTCCCTTCCCCCTCTCAGGTTTCATGGCAACTATGAAGCAACACAAGATGGCTTCAGCCAGGTTTGCTTCAGAGTTGACAGTTAGTCGGCCTTTTTCCATTTGAGTTTTCCATTTGTCCTTCAAATGACAGGCAAGAGATCCTTCCAAAAACTGAGGTGGCTGGGTCAAAACTTATTTGTCATTAAATTAATATCATTAACATAATAACTCCATTACTGTCACATTAAACTTAAAAGTTAGTATCACATTCCAGAAGGGCTTTGAGAACTTCAATGTGAGGCTACCTAGCTAGCACAGGTTATTTATCCCTGGGTTACACTGTTCCCTATCATCCAAATGATCAACCATTTTGGTCTTCACTTTAAATGCCAACATGGCATTTCTCACGGCCTATCTCATTTCACTTTGTCACAGGAGACTAGAATCCAATGAGGTATTGTTAACTCCAGAAAATAGACAACCTTGTTAGTCTATTGCAGAAGAAACAAAGGGGCATTCTTCACAGAAGATTAAAAGTGCAATTACTAGTCCTTGAGCTGGCAGATCATTTGTTGCCCCTGTTGCCAATCTTTATCCTTCAAAAAGCAAAATACTGTCAAATGGTGTGATCCATATTTATTACCCATAAAAAGCTGAAAACAGGCTGAGTGCACTTCCATAAGAGTATTAATCCCATATTTCAAAGCAACCTGAAAACAGCTGATAGGTGTGGGTAATGTTATACAATGAAATGGTAAAGGTCTGTCTTCTTCACTCCAACTTCCCTGGAGAACAATTTGAAAGGTCTAGACTCTCCCATTGATCAGAGCAGAATTGCTATCCTTGGACTGGAGGGAAAGGATATGTCCATCCTGGCCTGAGTGGCGAATAATTGTCAGGCTAATCTCATACCATAGGATCACCTAGCTACAACCCCAACAAAATTGCCAGATTATACCCATGGTAAAGTTACCCTGGCTTTTTGCCTACCTGGGTGGATAAATACAAACACTACTAATCCTAGGAATACATTGAGGACAAAATAAAGGCCACATCACAGAGACACTGATGAAATAAAGGTGGTTTCTGGAATATAACTGTGTCATGGTTAGTGCGAGTAGAGAAAGTCTAGAGAGACTTGTAGCAACAATTTAAAGATTAACACACTAATCGTGTTTCCACTGATTCCTATCCTTCAGCAGGACTGAAGCTTAGTTCCAATCTCTCTTCCCTGCCAGTCAGTCTGTGTGTGTGTGTGTGTGTGTGTGTGTGTGTGTGTGTGTGTGTGCTTGTTCCCTGATCAGCCTGTCCCTGATCAGCAGTGTTTTCATAGAAGCTGTGTTGTTGTAGCTCCTGACAAGCATCACATACCCAGTTTCATAGTTTCCTAATAACCTCATACATCAAACCAGAGGAGTCTGCGAGGCCCATGTAATAAAAGTGCACAGTTTATGTGCTGAATATCATTATCAAAAGTCCCCTTTCTCTTGCTTCTTATGCAAAAATGCACATGTTCCCTGGAGTACCCAGCACAGAAAATGGATCAACAAAATCAACATTTGTTATTTTCTAGGACTTGAGGCATAATATATATGGGAGGAGAAAACAGACTGAGTTTATCCAAACATTTCAAAAATTGTTTCAGTTAAGGAAAAAAGGGAAATGGAGGACATCTGGTGGCAAAGAAATGAAACACAACTATGTGGAACAGAAAAATAATGAACCTATACGCTGGGGAAGGTGGGGGAGAGAGAATTAAAAAAAAAGTTCAGTCTCAAGATTGGAGAAAGCAGCTATAATTGGATTAATTTCAATGAAGATGTGATCACCCCTTAGTTAATCCTAGATAATTTAACCACAGGCTAGGTGAGTTAAATGAGCTTACAATGTTCCCAAATAAATTGTTGTTGTTGTTAGTTTCTAAGTTGTATGGACCCATGGACAACGTTCCTCCTGTCCTCTGCCATCCTCCAGAGTCCATTTAAGCTCACATCTACTGCTTCTCCAAAATAAATAAATGAACTTAATTCCCAAATTCTGTTTCAGGATAAAGGGGACAAACCTCAAATTTCTGCCCCACCCCAGCATGTGGACAAGAAGCATTTATTGGTGAAAGGAACTGAAGTTTTCTTTTTCTTTTTTTCAAAAAAGCTAGAATAAGAATGAAATATTTTTCTATTAATAGTTTCCCAAATTATTGCCTAGATATTAGGTTCCAATAATAGAGACTAAACAGATGTCCTGGAGATAATAGTGTATCTTTTGAGAGGTCCTTGGTGCTCTCTGAATTTGCTTGTTTTCTTGCAGATGTTTCATTACCCAAACTAGGTAGCATCATCAGTGCTGATGATGTAATGAAATGTCTTCAAGAAAACCAGCAAGCTCAGAGAGCACCCAAGGATCCTTTATTTCAGCTCTGACCTACAAATATTCTCCTTTATTAGTTTTTATCTTTTATTTAGATATTCTCCATATTTAACTAGTGTACATAAAGCTATTGTTTGGCTAAACTCCATCCTGGGAATTTCTATATTAGGTGATTTTTCAAGCCTCAGATTCCCCAATACAACTGCAGGACACCATTAGGGAAGAAGCTGCCCTAAGATGGTGGTTTGTTTGTTATTTTCAAATGGCTCTTCTGTCCTCCCTAGTATTTGCTGAATGTGAGAAGGAAAAAGAGGGATTGTGATTGTGATATACATCTGTACATCCATCTACATTATTAAACATAAAGAGAAAGGGGACATTGGAGCTGCCAGTGTGAAAGGAGAGAAAGCAACCTCTTCATGGATTTTTGTGCTCAGAAAATTTGGAGGGTGTCTGAGAAAACTTCCTCAGAGTGGTTTTGCTTATTCACTTATCTACTAAACCGGGAATTATTGAATTATTCAGGAAAGGAGATCCTTTAAAACATCTTCAAATATACACACACATCTCACTTTTAACCATATTGTTATCTTTTCTCTAAACCAGTGTTTCCCAACCGTGACAATTTAAGCTGTATGGACTTCAACTCCCAAAATTTCCCAGCTAGCATAGCTGGGAAATTCCGGGAGTTGTAATCCATATCGCTTAAAGTTGCCAAAGTTGAGAAACAGTGCTCTAAACCAGGGGTGTCAAACTGGCGGTCCGCGGGCTGGATGCGTCACACACAGGTTACCGCCACTCCAGCTCCACAGATGGGGAAAACGTCACAAAACGTCACGTGATGGCAAGGTAATGTGGCAAGTTTGACACCCATGATCTAAACCATAACTAAGGAGATATGAGACAAGGTTAAAAGGATCAGTCTCACTCTGATTTTGATGCTAAATAAATTTAATTATCTTTCCAAAATAGCAGTGCAGAGATTAGTCATCTCCTTTAAAGGATCACTCAAAGGGACACATATACCACGAATAATGACAGGTAGCATGAAGCCCACAAGTATGGCATCAAGTCTCTATCATATCAGCTTCAGACTCCATGCTATTTATTATTCTGCAATATGGCGGAAGGACTGGACCAGTGGGGTTGCTGCTCCCCACTCCGTGGGTTTACTGTATTCCCCTCTCTCTAAGAAATACTGCTTGCCACGGAAGTTGGGATGTTCATAGAAAATCCATGCCCCATCCAGAACTTTGCAAGAATGAATTTCTGGCAGGTGAAACTTCTCCATCACAGAAGGGCAATCCTCTGCAGATTCATGCATTTGACCACTAAAGTCACCCTTCTCAAAGAGCTGGATCTGATATTTGTCTCCACCAGTCTGTAATGAAGAAGAGAAAGAATATACAGATTACTAAAGAGTTGAACACAAACTTTTCTGCCTTCTCTTAAAATGTAAATGGAGAATATTCATTATCACAAATAACACCTTGTAGCTGGAGATATGATACACTACACCGCTGGATGAACACATGTATTCATTATATTTTACAAATATAATTTCAGCAATATTTCTGCCATATATTACAATGTGATGTGATGATCAAGAAAAATTTATCACCGATGGCAAGTGTTATAAAACTACATTGTAATTAACTTCAGGTGGCCTCCATTTTTTCTGTCACAATGGAGTCTATAGGATCATTTTCACTATAACAAATTAGAAAGTATCTTATTGGGGAAAGCTGCTCTACGATGTATCAGATTCTGAGGGCTATGCTATAATGCTTCTGCATTATTACCAGAATCTCTGTATTAACCTACCAAAATCTTGAATTTAGTAATATTTTGACAGATGAAAAGCTCTGACAAACTCAAAATCTATACAAACCTGTGTGGTAAAATTAATATATCCTGATTTACAACCTTTGTCCTCTGACAGTGTATATAAATTATTGTCATGTAATAATAATAATAATAATAATAATAATAATAATAATAATAATAATA